TACGTCATAGCCCATGGATACCTATCTCAACCTGCTGCCAAGTTTACAAGCGTCATTGAAACATCATATAATGGTCTTATGACTGAGACGTGCGACCCAGCGTTTGCAGGGTTGAAGTGGAACGACAGTCCCGAGGCAAATACTGCCATGTTCACCAAGTCCTTTCCGAATTCAAGGTTTAAGACTCTCACGGACATGATGGATACGGTAGCAACGGACTGTGACAAAACATTTTTTACTGGCTTCTCCATCGGTGTGAGCATACTGTGCTTCGATGTAAGTATGTGTGTAGCGCTGCTACAGGCTCTCGGTAGCAAGGGGTTTTGGAACTCGGACTCGGAACTGTCGGCGCGTTTGCGGTCACGGTTACACTGATATGCGTTGAGTAACGGGTCGCTGTATTATAGCGCCGATTCAACAAAGACGCCATGAATTGCGGCTCCCACGATGAGGATTTAAAATATCATATCCTCGATGAGGCCCACGACACCCCACTTAGTGGTTTTGTCGGTCGTGAAACGACCAACAGCTTTGTGTGTTGCCAGTATTGGAGGCCCAAGCTAAACAAGTGGTCGAGCAAATATGTGCACACGTGTGAGACCTATCCGAGGGCGAGACCCTCTCCAAATGCGGCGGAGCCGCTGGCCAGTTTACCGGTACCCTCTGAAGGCTGACAGTCCATGAGTATGGACTTTGTGTATGGCCTGCTGAAGGATTCGGCGAGTAACATGGGTGTGGTGGTCTTCGTGAACCGTTTGAGCAACATGGCTCATTTTGCGGTAGTGACGAACACCATCGACGGTGGGGGCACAGCGAAGCTGTTTGTCGATCGTGTCTTTCGACAATATGGGCTCCCGAAGTTTTACGGGACGTTCCGCGTTTTGCCACCATTTGTGGAGGATGTGACGGAACTGGTGAGAGCGTTGAGTCATTGCTGCTTGAACAAAATGGGGTATATCGACGACCGCGTGATCTCCAATCAAAGTTCGCAGCTTCATCGCACAATTTCATTGCGAGTGTGTTAGGAACACCCTGTGATCCAAGGCCGACCACCGCCTGTGCCGTCCACATTATCCATCGACAAATCCATCGAAGAAGTTGCGTTGGAATGACTACAAGTGCTACCAAGTGAAACGAGAATTGCCCGACAGTGTTCAAACACTTACCTAGGAAGACCTTAATCAGTTGACACCCTTCACCGCGTGTGGATCACGTCTGCGAGTCTGACTTACTTGAAAAAGAAGAAAAGATGCAGTGACATTTATCCACGGTCAATAAGCCTTTCTAAACTGATAAGTGCTCATCATTCTGCGGTAACAGGTTCAAAGGATATACAACTATACAGGGTCTATAGTTAGTGTATGTGTGTAACGGAGTTATTTTACACGTACCCTGGTATGATGGGGTGGGTCATGTCACCATACAAGGGTGATGGTCACACAATTGCGTGGCTACACCTTAACAAGAAGTCAGTATGTGGCTGGACTGCCAGTAATTATCTATTCTAGTTAGGTTTTTCAATATAATTAGGAAACCCTATATTAGATATAGGCGGTTTCGCCACCAATAAAACCAAGAAATACAGTTGACACTTGAATGGAAGTGTTTATGAGACTTGGGTTAAGGTTGTAATTACTCTTGGAGTAAGTGAATTAGGATCCGCTACACTCGTACTGGTTCCAAGTATAGAACGAAGGTCATCGGCGTTAGCCAAGCTTCCGCTAGGCGCAAGCCTGCTCAATTGGTAGCAGTTGGCAGCACTTGTATATATCCACACCTGATTCGTTTGGAAGGACCCTCTGGTAGGATGAAGCAGTGCTCTTATTGGCCTCAGGGCATGCAGGACGGGCTTATAAAACTGATATCTCTGCTTGAACCTGAGGGCGGACAACACCTCGCTCTGCAAGGACCTTAAGCGATCAGCGCGCGCCTAGTGTCGTTTTCAAGTTATCGAAGTGCTCTGTTAGAGCAACTAAAGCAAACGTTGCCGGCGTCGACTGCGTCCGTGTCGCCATCGTCGACGACAAATGACTCTCTCCAACCCAAACCGCTCATGTTGAGTGTTAAGCCTTCGAGGGCAAGGTTGGAGAATGTCCTGCCCTGGATGAGAAAGGTCGAGATGGTCATGGCGCCCGCCATGCTCCACACTAAGCAACGGCGCGTGAAAATAGCTATCTCCAAGCTCAGGGGGCCGAGCGCGAGAATGGATACTAACGTGCGATACTTCGGATGAAGCGGCGTTCCCCTCCGGGAAGGAGCTGAAACGTCAGCTTTTGCGAGTGTTCTCGCCGCCAAATCAGGCATATAGCGTGCGATCACGTTTCCTTACCACCCGACAGAGCAAGAACGAGTCGGTGGACTTTGTCCAAGGGTTAAGAACTCATCGCCGGGATGGCAGCCGACCTTCTCCCCGAGGCGATCGCAGCGACCATAGTTATATAGGGTCCCCACACTGGCGTGACCGGATTGGAAGTCTTCCGTGTGTATTCGTCTTCTTCTGAAGAAGCAATGAATATGGCAATACTTCAACCTTAAGTCGGTACGACTTGGCTAGAGGGCACATTCTAGTGGCTCGTCGAGCGAGTAACCGATGGATCTCAGATATGCGAAGGACGAGAAGCCAGATTTCCGAGCCGCCGAGCAGCGCTCAACAAACCGAAGGTGTTTTGTCTGTGGATACACCCGTCACCTTTGGATTGCTTGTCCCTTGCGCAAGACGCATCAACGCTCATCGAGCCGACACCCCGCTGCTGTCCACTCTTCCGGTTTAGCGTGGGGAAACGACAACACCTAATAGGCGCGGGGTGCCTTTAATGGGGATGAACTGAGTTTTGATGAGCCTCAAAGAGGTAGAGGGCAGTAGGGTCCAGCTCCGATGAGCTACGTGCTCATATACACGAAACGTGTATGCAAGCCGGGCTTGCTGGTCATGAAAGCGACCGTGAAGGGCTTTGATAAAGCATTGAAAATCCTGATCGACTCTGGGGCGTCGGGCAATTATGCTCTACGCTCCACGACAATGTAAATCCAACTGTATGCTGAGGCGCTAAAGGCGCGGTTAGGTTACATCGTCAATATTCGCTTAGCGACGTGGACATGTCTTACGGTGCCGAGGTTCCATGTGGACATCACTGTCAAGTTTCTCGGCTTTGATACCGTAAACACTGCTAAGTCTAAGACTTGAATTCAATGTATAGCCTCATCCTTGGTATGGCACGGTCGGAACACCATGAGCCATGGATTGACTGGAGGTCGAAGACCTTCCGAAACGTGCACATCTTCTGGTAGAGCTTTGGTGAGTCATGAACCTGCCTCTGCTAGGAAGCAGGAGTGCTATTGGCATGGGCACTGGCCCATGACGTTTAATGATCTGGATATCGGAGTATTCGAGCTGTTAAATACCAAATACGTTTTGGATAAGAGTCCCGAGCGTTGCTCGCGGGCTGAACGTGAAGTGGCACGTAACTCACTGAGCGCTTCTCAAGTATTGGAGCTGTCGCTGCATGCCAAGAGTTGAAGGTCGGCCAAGAGCCGACGCAAATGGGCAAGGCACTTCAGATGCGCGTGGAATGGCACTGGACGAAGACTGCAGAGCAGGCCGCTCTATGTCGGGTGTTGTTAATATCATTAGGGCTCCGGTGTAGCAGAAATTAGGACTAACACTAGATGACGCTTAGTGCGTATTCTCACTAGTCTTGTCGAGACATGAAACCTCTGTGAGGAGGCGACAGCATCACATATGCTCGCTGCAAAACGCCGGCCGTTCATCCTGACCCAGGAAGTGTCTTCCGTAACGATAGCGCGCAGCTATACACCACTGTCAACGGTGAGACGGGGGAGGATGATGGCGATGTCGCCTTTGAGGATATTCCGCGGTGGATGCTCTTCTTGAGCTGGACAAGATGTCCCTCGAAGAGTTCGGCGGTGCCTTGAAGGCAGGCAACTTAGCTGAAGTGGTCATTTTACGACCTGAAGAGGTGTTTTACTCGTCGTTGCTTTTGGACGAAGCTGTCCTAGAAGACACTAAGAGGTTTCCGAGCGCACAAAGTGCGATCTTTGATCCTGAAGACTCCGTCGGAAACGTACTATCATTTGGTAAAAATAATTCACGACGTCGTCCCCAAAGACCCGTCGTCGTTCCTACTTCAGGACCGAAGTGTGCGTCATGTGATCGACCTAGTTCTGAAAAACATATTTTGCGCAACACGCCAATGACTCTTGCCCACGAAGCGGTGTGACGTCACTGACGCCATTTTCGTGCGAAGCACGACGCAGGAATGGAGCGTGAGAGTAAGCCACCACATTCGACACCCACATTTTGGGTCTGGAAGCCGAACGGCAAGTGGCGTATCGTTCAAGCTTACAATAAGCTCAACGCTGCCACCATTCCGGCACAGAC